CCGAAGATGCCACCAATACGGCTAGGATGCCCCAGGGCGAAGCACCGCGCCCAAGATGGCTCCAAGACGGCACAAAGACGGCTCCAAGACGGCACAAGTGCAATGTGATGTACGATATCATATCGAACAGTGCTATACACATGGTATTATACATTGCGCAATCGTTTTTTTCTCCTTACTCGTATTCGCATTATTCTTTCTTTCTTTTTTTTCCAAAGCGCCCAATGCAATAATATAGCGATAATGATAATGGCGTCTGCAATAAACAAGACTAGGGTGAAATATGCGCCCTGTGAAGACTCAACGTTTATAATAAGCAGCCACTTCTTATTATAAGCATCGCGTCTTATGTTAAGCAGTAAGTGCTATTATAAGACTTGAGCTATCAATCAAACGTCTGACGGCTGTTATAGCAAGTCCCGGCCCTCTGGGCCAATTCGGCGCACCCCTCGCACGCTTCGCGGCCCCATAGGGAGCTCCACCGAAGGCCCCAGTGGGTTTGCCCGCATGCGCCCCGCACGCCTAGTTCGGCACACCCCTCGCGCGTTTTGTGACCCCCCACACGATTCGCGGTCCCATAGGGAGCTCCACCGAAGGCCCCAGTGGGTGCACCCGCATGCGCCCCGCACACCCATATCGGCACACCCCTTGCACGTTTCGTGGCCCCGTAGGGGGCTCCACCGAAGGTCCCAGTGGGTGCGCCCGCATGCGTCCCGCACACCCATTTCGGCACACCCGTCACACGCTTCGTGGCCCCATAGGGAGCTCCACCGAAGGTCCCAGCGGGCGTGCCCGCACGCGCCCCGCGCACCCATTTCGGCACACCCCTCGCACGCTTCGTGGCCCCATAGGGAGCGCCGCCGAAGAAGATATTCACAAATGCAATTTTCACAATTGCATATGGTTGGGCCCTTCGCCATGATTTTTTTTTGCGCGCGGTGCGCCCGCGATCTTTGCTTGCGCCCTAACCACCAAAGAGAAATCCCTCATGGTCGCGACCGGTTAATCTGGCTGGGAACGCGGCCATTCCTTTTCCGCGAAACGGCCGGCGCGCCTGCCACCCTTCCCGCGACCCCTACCTTTGCGAAAGAAGACGCGACGCACTTCTCGCCTAGATCCCCTAACTGGTTCAATCACTCTTCGCCCCCACCCTCTCATGGCACGATGGTAGCCTAAGTGTAGGTATTGTACTGATTGGTCGCCATCGGCAGGCAGATCTGACCCAGTCAACAAGGTCTACGCTAGTTGATGAGCGAGCAGGCGTCGGTGTCTGTGCCAGAGTCAAAGAGCTTGTCTCCCTGCTGGTCGGGCGAACACCACAGGGCGGTCGCTTCGGGTGGCGTGTAGCTGGCAGCTGATGGCCAGCCAGCGATCGGACCAGAGGCCTGCGCGCTGCTGGACTCTCGGCCTAAAAGTGTCGTGGATTCGGTGGGCCCCCCCATCAGTCCAGATGCACCTGACATGGACGCTTGCGCGTCGCTGCGGCATGTTCAGTGTCGCGGCCACCGAACATGCTCCCGATGTTCCAAGGGCGCGCTCAGCTAGGTGCCCACGGCTGTGCATGCGTCCCAACGGTTGGTCGTATTGTTGAATACGGAGCATCCGGTGGTTGAGCGGTCGCAGATGTTGCGTTACTCGGGAGGTGCCTACTCTCAATGCGCGGAACAATATATGCGCTAAGATCTGGAAAGTGGGCACGTTGAAACAAGCCGAACCTGCCCCCAGCCTGGCAGTCGGGCCAATACTGAATGGATGCGCTTGCCCTTTTCGGCCCTGAAAACGACGAGGGATGTTTCCGAGGCGAGCAGTCGCTCATCCTCGAAGTTGCCACATTTGGTGCTTAGGAGGTACATGGTATAACTGACTCCATCAGCGCGTCTACCCTGTAGGCTTACACCGCAATTAACGATGGTAGACGGCGCCCACATGGCCGGGGCCTTGGCGAGACCCCCTGGGCCGCGCTGTTGCGCGGAAGGAGGCCTGTCGATGTGAAATCACGTTTCCGCTTGCGACATTAAGCCACGCGTGTACTTCGCGAACGAATTCGCGGAACGGTGCATTGTCAAGGGCGCCCCAATGGGGGCCTCGAGCACGCGCGCATCAGCCAGCAGTCTATGCATGCGCCCCGCTGCCAAACCAAAGCGCACCCAGAACACTCCGAATGTACTTACCTTGACACCGCGAATGTTTTTTGTTTAATGCTTGTGGATGATATCATGGTCTGTGTGTTTGGTGACTGTCGTATCCGTCAGGTTACGACTGCGCGCATGATCTGACATAGCCGCCAATTTGCAGATGGGTGCATGGGGTTCACCATCCACGTGGCGCGTTGCCACGCGGTCGGTGGATGAAACAAATAGTAGGTTACCGCTTGGTTGACTAGTACTGGGAGAGTGATGGATGATAGCTAGCGCAACTTGGTTCGCCACTGTTATGTGGTAAGTTGTCACGTGCGTTACATATGATGCAGGATTCAACCACCTAAGGATGAGGCCATCTCCGCTACCAAATGAAAAAATGCGAGGGTCAGGAAAGTGTTAGCCGAGACCCGGTTCAGGATGACGTCGTAGACGTACCACGGTATCCCATTGGTTATCCCGTCTTGATGGGCAGGACGAAAGATATAAGACAAAACGTGAGATAGAGAGATGGGCCATACGTTGATGTGGCCTTTTCTCCAGCACTCCGGCTCGATTGTACCTCTGGGGCGAAGGGCAATCACATTGGACACCGCTACTTTGAACCAGGTAGCGCAGGACGTAAGCACGACGTTCATTATGCTCGCCCCCTTTAATTAACTTCCTTCGAAATCACTCGAGAGATCCGCCGGAGTCCAGCCGCGGCGCGCTGAACACTCACGCCATGCCGAAGTCAAACTTGGGAGACACTTCGGCTGATAGCCACTACGTTGTCAAATAGATCCTCACTACTGCAATATAAAAAACCTTAGCCTGGCGAAGGACCCAACTATATGCAGTTGTGAGTAATGCTGGTGTGAGTACCGTCTTCGGTGGATCTCCCTATGGGGCCACGAACCGTTCGAGGGGTGTGCCGAAATGGGTGCGGGGGCGGCATGCGGACCCAGCCACTGGGGCCTTCGGTGGAGCTCCCTATGGTGCCACGAAACGTGTGAGGGGTGTGCCGACATGGGTGTGGGGGCGCGTGCGAACCCAGTCACTGGGGCCTTCAGTGAAAATCCCAATGGGGCCACGAAGCGCGTGAGGGATGTGCCGAAATGGGTGTTGGGGAGGCATACGAACCAGGCCACTGGGGCCTTCGGTGGAGCTCCCTATGGGGCCACGAAGCGTGTGAAGGGTGTGCCGACATGGGTGGTGGGGAGGCATGCGGACCCTGCCACTGGGGCCTTCGGTTGAGCTAGCTCCCTATGGGGCCACGAAACGTGTGAGGGGTGTGCCGAAATAGGTGGTGGGGAGGCATGCGAACCCTGCCACTGGGGCCTTCGGTGGAGCTCCCTATGGGGCCACGAAGCGTGTGAGGGGTGTGCCGAAATGGGTGGTGGGGAGGCATGCGGACCCTGCCACTGGGGCCTTCGGTGGAGCTCCTATGGGGCCACGAAACGTGTGAGGGGTGTGCCGAAATGGGTGGTGGGGAAGCATGCGAACCCTGCCACTGGGGCCTTCGGTGGAGCTCCCTATGGGGCCACGAAGCGTGTGAGGGGTGTGCCGAAATGGGTGGTGGGGAGGCATGCGAACCCTGCCACTGGGGCCTTCGGTGGAGCTCCCTATGGGGCCACGAAACGTGTGAGGGGTGTGCCGAAATGGGTGGTGGGGAGGCATGCGGACCCTGCCACTGGGGCCTTCGGTGGAGCTCCCTATGGGGCCACGAAACGTGTGAGGGGTGTGCCGAAATGGGTGGTGGGGAGGCATGCGAACGCAGCCACTGGGGCCTTCGGTGGAGCTCCCTATGGGGCCACGAAACGTGTGAGGGGTGTGCCGAAATGGGTGGTGGGGAGGCATGCGGACCCTGCCACTGGGGCCTTCGGTGGAGCTCCCTATGGGGCCACGAAACGTGTGAGGGGTGTGCCGAAATGGGTGGTGGGGAGGCATGCGGACCCTGCCACTGGGGCCTTCGGTGGAGCTCCCTATGGGGCCACGAAACGTGTGAGGGGTGTGCCGAATGGGTGTGGGGAGGCATGCGGACCCTGCCACTGGGGCCTTCGGTGGAGCTCCCTATGGGGCCACGAAGCGTGTGAGGGGTGTGCCGAAATGGGTGGTGGGGAGGCATGCGGACCCTGCCACTGGGGCCTTCGGTGGAGCTCCCTATGGGGCCACGAAACGTGTGAGGGGTGTGCCGACATCGGTGGTGATGATGATGATGATGATGATGACGATGATGATGATGATGATGATGACGATGATGATGATGGGAGGAGGGAGGGGGGGGAGGAGGAGGTGAGGAACGCGGGGCGCCGTCTCTTCAAAACGAGGACCCAACACCACAGGATGGTTGGGAATAATGTGCACCCGCCTCCCCTCCCCCGGCTGAGCTGGCTACGAACGTTGAAACTATTGATTGCGCACCTCCCCTTTGGTCTATGACTGATCATGCCTACTCTGAGGGCACCTCTGGTCCTGTCCATCTCCAGCGTTTCGGCGTGTGGTTGGCTGTCCTAACCTGGACCTGCCCCAACCAACCACAGTTAGCAGGCTGACGCCGTCACGAACGACACCTCAGTTTCCGACTGCGTGAAACATCAATATGTACAACACCCAAATCGCCAGAAGAAGTCAAGCGGACTCAGCGCGATGAGCACAGACAGATGAGCTGCTGGCGTCAACCGAGAGCCTGGGTTTTCGGCCCTCAGAGAACGGAAAAAGAGAACTGAGGAGAGTAGCATGCAGAGCAGCATGCGACTGCTCCTGCCCTCCGTCCAAACTCCTGGAGGGCGGCCCGAGAAACGCGAGGCTCGAACACAGGGATCGAGCGGGGGATCGTCGCGTCGCTTGGTCGGATGTGTCCCACAATCGATCGGGGCCCGCCGGTCCTCGTCGTCCAGCCCGGCAGGGCTCTTCTTGTCCCGCGCCGCTTTGGTGCAGAAGGCGAGGAACTCGTGCCAGCATACCCGCATGGTCCTGTCGGGGTCCAGAACCTTGATCCAGGCCTCGAACAGGCTCTTGTGGCCGCGCTTCAGCGACTCCTTGAGCTCCTCTGCCGCGCCTTTGTCGGCTGCGACGCAAAGGTACAGGGGCAGGTGCCAGCGATCCAAGAATGCGAAATCCTCGGGCTTCAGGAAGCTGGCCCCCTGTTCGACAATCATGTCGAAGATGCGGCCTGCTGGCCCGGAGTAGCCCATGCTCTGGAGGCCCTCGATGAACTCCGCCCTGTGGATGTGGCCGCTGTTGTTGCCATCGAGCTGTCGCATGACTTCGTAGACGGAGATCGTCTCCTCCTTCGACCTCGACCTGATCGACGGAGCCGGCGAGTTTGAGCCAGATCTCTCGGTCGCATCGCGGACCGAAGGCCTGAGCTTCGCGGCGGGCCCGGCGTGCGACACGATGATCTTCTTCAGCTCGGCCAGCAGCCTGGCCGCCCGCGGAGCCAGCTCCACCAGGGTGATCTGCCCGCTGCTGTCGCGATCGATGTACCGCCACAGCGCCACGGCGTTCCCCCTGAACCCGATGCGCTCGAGGCCGCGGGCGAACTGCTTCTCGCCGATGCCCTGCGTGGCCTCCGGATTCAGGGCCATCCACGCCCTGAGCGGGTTGCCGTACCTCTCCTCGGGACACCGCAGCGGCGGCTCACGCCACCACCGCCGCGAGGAGCCCGGGAAGGCCGCCCCAAATCTCGAGGTGAGGCCCCCTGTCATGCGGCGGCCTCGCTCGAGGCGTCTAACCTCCTGGCTCGGCGAGGGATCTTGCGGATCTTCCCCAAGTCGTGTGGCCCACCTGAGAACTGCGTGCATTTTCGAAGTCGGGCTCGACCTCCAGAAACACTCACATGTTTTGGAAGTCGAATGCGATTTCAAATAAAATGCAATTCTGCTCTGCGGCGAATCCCCGCTCGTGGCGGCTCCGAAACTCCCGGCTCGGGGAGGCACATCGAGAGCGGTGGTCCGCCGGAGGCGACCCGCCAGCGGTGGCGGTGTTCGCTCCCTCCTGCCCCTGCGATCTCCTGCGTGAACTTCGTGAAGTCCTGGAGCGCCTGCAGCCCCTTCCGCAGGCCCGTGGACCTCTGGCACGCACGAGACGGGTACGTACAAGAAGTGGGCACGATGCCAGACAGCTTATGCGGTCCAGAACCGACAGCGGCCGCTCTTGGGCAGAGGCTTCTTGCCTCAAGTGGACAGCGTCCAGGGCGACACCGACAGCGAGTCATGGTCAGAGTGCGAAGGCACTGTTGTCGGTCGTCGTCCCCATCCCTTCCGCACCCATCTCGATCGGGGGACTCGCGCAGAATGTGGGGACATTGACTTGTTGACCTGGAATCAGCGATGTATCGACGACACATCGGCTGTGGGCTCCGAAAGCCACCGCCTGGGAACCGACGCCCTGGCGCCCCAACGTGCGGCAGATCCAGATATGCTCGGGCCCCGGGGGTCAAAATTCGCCGGCCCAACGGGCCAGAGGCGTGCTAAGATCTCCGGCAACTGGTTAACAATAACTCTATACTTCGCGCGCGAGGAGCGGCCCCTGGGGGTCCCCGGCCGGAAAGTATCCCGGCAAGGTCCCGGGACACTCCGGGCAAACTCAGATCAGAGATGGTCTTCCTCCTGGGTGCGGCCTTCCACGCTCCCCGGAGCGCGCCAAGAGGGCCCCAAGAGGCTTCCAAGACGGTCCAAGAGGGTTCCGAATCACCGAACGATCGGCCCAAGACGCCCAACACGACCTCAAGACGGCCCAAGAAGCTTCCAAGACGTTCCAAGAGAGCCCCGACCCTTTCCAACAGAGGCCAAAAACATCGATTTCCATTATGTTTTTCAAGGTTTTTGGCTTCCTCGCCTTTTCGCCTTTCCGACGCTCCAAGACGGCCCAAGAAGCCTCCAAGACCACCCCAAGACGGCCCAACAGGCCTCCAAGAGAGCACCAAGACCGCCCAAGAGGGCCACACGACAGCCCAAGACGCGCCCAAGACGGTTCAAGAGGACCCCAAGAGGGCCCCAAGAGGGCCCCAAGAGGGGCCCAACATGGAGACCACGAACCAAGAATCCGAGCCTTCCGCTCCAAGAGGCCTCCTGGACGCCCCAAGAGGCTCCTAAGAGGCCCCAACAAGCGACAAGGGGCCCGAAAGAGACCCCGAGAGGCTCGACAACGACTCCCGAGAGTCTCCAAGGAGCCCTCGAGGGGCATCCAACGAGATATCAATGAACGTCCACGAAGCCTCAGAGCGCCAAAACCATTGATTTCCATTGGATTTTGCAAGGTTGTTTGCCTCCTCGCCTTTTCGCCTTTCCGACGCTCCAAGACGGCCCAAGAAGCTTCCAAGACCACCCCAAGACAGCCCAAGAGGCCTCCAAGAGAGGCCCACGACCGTCCAAGAAAGCCCCACGACAGCCCAAGAGGCGCCCAAGACGGTCCAAAAGGACCCCAAGAGGGCCCCAAGAGAGACCCAACATGGAGACCACGAACCGAAAATCCGAGCCTTCCGCTCCAAGAGGCCTCCTGGACGCCCCAAGAGGCTCCTAAGAGGCCCCAACAAGCGACAAGGGGCCCGAAAGAGACCCCGAGAGGCTCGACAACGACTCCCGAGAGTCTCCAAGAACACCCTCGAGAGGCATCCCACGAGATCCTAATGAACGTCCACGAAGCCTCAGAGCGCCCAAGCCATTGATTTCCATTGGATTTTGCAAGGTTGTTTGCCTCCTCGCCTTTTCGCCTCTCCGACGCTCCAAGACTGCCCAAGAAGCCTCCAAGACCACCCCAAGGCGGCCCAACAGGCCTCCAAGAGAGCCCCAAGACCGCCCAAGAGGGCCACACGACAGCCCAAGAGGCGCCCAAGACGGTCCAAGAGGACCCCAAGAGGGCCCCAAGAGGGGCCCAACATGGAGACCACGAACCAAGAATCCGAGCCTTCCGCTCCAAGAGGCCTCCTGGACGCCCCAAGAGGCTCCTAAGAGGCCCCAACAAGCGACAAGGGGCCCGAAAGAGACCCCGAGAGGCTCGACAACGACTCCCGAGAGTCTCCAAGGAGCCCTCGAGGGGCATCCAACGAGATATCAATGAACGTCCACGAAGCCTCAGAGCGCCCAAGCCGTTGGTTTCAATTGGGTGGTTTAAAGTTTTTGGCTTCCTCGCCTTTTCGCCTTTCCGACGCTCCAAGACGGCCCAAGAAGCCTCCAAGACCACCCCAAGGCGGCCCAACAGGCCTCCAAGAGAGCCCCAAGACCGCCCAAGAGGGCCACACACTCAACCCAAGAGGCGCCCAATACGGTCCAAGAGGACCCCAAAAGGGGCCCAAGAGGGGCCCAACATGGAGACAAAAAGCCTCCAGGACCACCCCAAGACGGCCCAAGAACCTCCAAGAGAGCACTGAGACCGCCCAAGAGGGCCCCACGTCAGCCCAAGAGGCGCCCAGGACGGTCCAAGAGGACCCCAAGAAGGCCCTCAGAGGGGCCCAAGATGGAGACCACGAACCGAAAATCCGAGCCTTCCGCTCCAAGAGGCCTCATGGACGCCCCAAGAAGCTCCTAAGAGGCCCCAAAAAGCGACAAGGAACCCGAAAGAGACTCCAAGAGGCTCGAAAACGACTCCCGAGAGCCTCCAAGAAGCTCTCGAGAGGCATCCCACGAGATCCCGATGAACGTCCACGAAGCCTCAGAGCCCGCACCCAGGCACGGTTGCGCATGTGACGAAGGTAATTAGACAAAAACAGCCGCCGACCCTGCAGCTCCGCACCGCTCCAAGAGGCCTCCTGGACGCCCCAAAAAGCTCCTAAGAGGCCCCAAAGAGACGACAAGGGGCCCGAAAGAGACCCCACGAGGCTCGACAACAACGTCGTACCTCTCCCGCCTCCTCTTCCCCCTCCTCCTCCACCTCCTCCTCCTCTCCCCGCTCCTCGCTCTCCTCCTCTGCCACTCGCCTTTCCCACGCTCGCGCTTCTACCCTGCTACCCCCCAAACCCCGCCCCCCCTCACACACGACGACGCATAGCAGCGGAGGGATGAAGTAGAGAAGAAAAGGAAACTGCAGAATGTTGTCTTGTTCCCTGCGATCGTATTCACGAGCCGCCACCTTCCGAAACAGAAGGCTCAGGCGGGCAAAGAATGGCTCCGCCTGCGAAATCACCCAAGCCAGCAATCCATAAACAAAAAAACGACCCAACAGCACCCCATTGACAACGATCACACGGGCACTCGACAGCCGTGCACCAATACGGGCCGGCGGAATGAGCGAAGCGATTAAATAATACCCGTAACCGCCGCCTATGGAAGTCCTCGAAGACCGTTCCCCAGGCGGCGGCTATGGATGAATCCCCGCCTCGGAGATTGGGCGTCGATGCCCCCCCCCCCTGAGTGTATCGCCCCCCCCGTCGTTGCCCCTGAGCCGAGACCTGGCGCCCCGCTCGTCCGCGGGCGCGAGGCCCGCTCTTGCGGAGCGGGGCTCCCACGCCTCGTCCGCGAGTGGCCTGTGGGCTTCGCGGAATGCCACGATGCCCTCCATCCTGGAGTCCGCGCGCAGGGGTGAGGGGCAACGATAAGGGGGGGCTGGCATAGGGGGGACGCATCGACCCGGAATACATCGGCGATAGATCAGCGATAGGACTCCGATAGCGAAACCGCACCTTCCTGGGTGGACTGGGCCTATCGGGCCCCTATCGGCGATCAGTGGGCGATTGGGGGTCGATTCCATGCGTTCCCGCCTATGCCTGTCCCCCCCTATCGTTGCCCCCCAAGGAGTGGGCCCCCCCCCCCGACAAGGAGTGGCCTCTGGTCCGCGGCTCCCCAGGGGGGGGGAGGCCGCGGGGGGGGGGGGGGGAGCAAAGCTCGAGCGTGCACGCCGCCGCGGTCGCACCGCACTCGGCGAAGGGGGGGCCCCTGTGGGCCCACACCAAAAGGTCACTCCGGCAAAAGGCACTCGCCTTTCGGGCCATCACTCGGGTCCCCGGCGGCCGTCCGGGACGATTCGGGCACCTCCAGAACGCTCTCGGCGAGGCGCAAGCTGCTAGACTGCAGGAAACACTCCAGGAGCAAACGAGAACGTCCGACAATCCCGGCAGAAATTCATCACTCTTACGCGCACCGAAAGGCCACTCCGGTGAGAGGCCACCCTTGCGCGCGGGCGACGTCCTCGCGGCCCACTCGTCAGCCTCCCGGGCCAACTCCCTGCATGTCCGGGGCGCGTGCAGCGGCTCCCGGCCCTCAGGGTCCGGCGCCGCCGCCTCCTCTGGGGAAACCATAGGGTACCGATACCCGCTACTCCCCGGACTCCCGGGGCGCCGTCTGACCAGGATTTCGAGGCGAATCCAGCGGTGGCGACGAGGGTCTCCCAGGAGGCCCATAAAGGGGAGAACGAGGGAAGGGGGGCGGTATCGGTACCGTTCCTCCTCCGAGCCTCCGCGCTCCCGCTGCGCTGGCCGACCTCCTTCGCAATGAGCGCGGCGTGCTTCAGCGCCACGACGCTGGAGCCGCGCAGGGCGCGCCTGTGGAGGCCGCCCGGAGCCACCGGGTGGGGTCAGGGGATCGTGCCCGCGCCGCCGACGCATCGGCGACGTCTCGAATAGGGGATCGACTACAGAATTGATCTACCCCAAGACTGATTTTCGCCATCGAATATACGACGAATGCGTGGAACTTTCGTGAATCCACTGAGGACTCCCCATGTTTTATCCGTAGATTCGACGACAAAATTAATTAGGGGATAAATCAATTCTATAATCGATCCCATACTCGAACGTCGGACCGATAGAAGCGGGCTCTGGATCGAACGGCGTCGCCGATGCATCAGCGTCGAGGCGCAATCCTCTGACCCCATCGAGGTGGCCTTTCTGCACTGCGGACTCTAACATCGTCCGACCACAAACATCTGCTGGGCTGCATTGTGGCAGAATTCCGAGGGGAATCCAGCCGCGGAGACACGAGAGGCCTCTCCTGGAGAGCCCCCAGCGGGACGAAGAACGTCCAAAGTCTGGATCCTCGAGCCTCGATCCCACCCCTCTCCAGGGTGATGAGCATCGTTAAACTGGCCGACTGACCCTCCCCATAGGCTGTTCCTGCGGGTTTCGAGGAGCCTATCCCCAACTGGGGTGGTGGGATTGTGGGGCTGAGATATCATGGCCCGGTGGGGGGATAGGTTAACGATACTGACCCCTCCCTCCTTCCATCCCTCCCCCCGCTCCCTCCCTCCCGAGGAGGGGGAGGAGAAGGAGGAGGAGGAGGAGGACATGAATCAAATGAGAATTAGACGAGACAATCATGTCTGTCTGATGTTGCTGTCTGGAGGCCAGGCCAGGGCGGGTGAGCGCCCGGTTTGCAGCGATCGCACCCTAGAATGATCCTCCGGCTCGGGCCAAGCATCTTCCTCCCTCGCACGGTCCCTCCAGCCCGACAAAACTGCAAGGTCGATCTACTGAAACTCCTAAGCCTGCATTATTCCCTTGGGGGGCTGGCAACAACACATATGTCGCAGATGGGAGGAGGAGGAGGAGGAGGCGGAGGCGGAGGAGGAGGAGGAGGAGGAGGAGGAGGAGGAGAAGGCGCCTGAGGTTCGCCTCCGCTGCCTTGGCGGTCAACCGGTCTTCGGAGACGCGCCGGAGCAGCGCGGCGCCGCCCGTCTCCAGGATGCAGCCGCCGCCAGCGCCCGGGCAAAGCGCCCGACCGCCAGCCGTGCCGTCCTCGGGCGCGCCGGGGGCGGCCAGGTCCAGCGCGAGCCACGCGCGGCCTGGGCGCGCGGCGGGCACGGCCTTCTGCCCAGTGGCGTGTGTGTACGGGACGAGGATAAAATCGGGTAAATACACGGACGAATCGAGAATCTCTGAGATCCGGCGGCTCTGGATGATGCATCGGGCGCCGCGGCCTTCTCACATGTAGCGTTCCGAAACGCTCTGCGAGCGTTCCGGAAAGCATTCTCGTCCTGGCCCTGCCCGACACGGCCTTCTCACCGGCGTGGGGCCCCGAGGCGTTGATTTGGGGGTGCTCTTCTCGCCTGCAGGGGCCCTCTGGCAGGCCTCCTCGTCGCCACGGCCAGGCTTCCCTCGGGACCGGGGCGAGGGCGCACGCATCCACTGAAGGGGGCCCGAGGTCGATTTGTGTGAGGCTTGGGCGGCGTCGCGATCTTCTTCGTGGCGTGGGCCCGTGGGGCTGTCGACCCCGCTTCCCGGGGACCTGCCTTTCGCCCGAACTCGCTTCCGTTCACGGCCCCTGGGCCCCAGGCCCGATTACGGCAGGCCCGTGTCGTGTCGACCCTGGCGTGTCGTGTCGACCCTGGCGTTGGTTCATGACACTGCGGGGATCCTTCAAGCTTGAACGATCCGCTGTTTCAGAAACGCCAGATCGTTCAACGATGGGCCGATTCTGGGCCACGGGCGGCGTTTAACCTTGAACGCCCGCGCGCGGGTCGCCACAGGTCGACACGACGCGAACCTGTCGTACGGGCTTCCGTAGAAGGAGCAAAACAACAGAGACCTAAGCGTCTCGTGCGTCAGCGCGGGTTTCTTGGATCGGCGCCCCCTTCCCTGGCGAGCGAAGAGCACGATAGGCGGCACCGCAGGCCGGCCGTCCAAATTTCTGCCCAAGACGCCGGAGGGAGGGAGGGGGGAGGAGGGCCTGGGATGTGCCACGTGCCGCCGTCCGTGCTCACCTCCACGGTCGCGGGGGACTCCACCACCCACAGCGCGGGCGGGCCCTCCTCCTGCGGGAATAGAAGTTCGGGGATAAGAGATGGTGAACAAACCCTGGACCTCGACAAAACATCTCTGCAGAGTCGACCGACCACGAAAAACGAAAGAAGATGGGGGTGACGCCGAAGGTTGTTCACCGTGCTTCGTTTACCGTGCCACCACCCTGCCCCCCTCCATCCTTTAGGCTGTTACAAACTGCAAGTTACAAATTTCAAGTTCCAGGATCACAAACGGTGAGCACGTCTCAGAGGAAACGCCTGGCCCACACTGCCGACACGTTCGCGGTTGAGGGGTGGAGAGGATGAGGAAGGGTGCAAGAGGGAGGACGAGAGGCAGGAGGAAGAGGGAGAGCAGGAGGGAGGAAGGGAGGAGAGAGCAGGAGTGAAGGAGAACGACGACGACGACGACGACGACGACGACAACTCCGACCACACCGACGACGACGACGATATTTCTCCAGAGGGAGCTGCGGCGGCGGGGGCGGCTTAGCGGGCTTGACGCCCCGGGCCAGCGGCAGGGACAGCGACGCGTCGAGGCACGCGGCGCGGAGGTACTTGGGCTGCACCTGCGGCGAGGGGATCATCGTCGTCGTCGTCGTCGTCCTCCTGCTCCTACTCCTCTTACTCCTGCTCCTGCTCCCCCTCCTCCACAATTACACAATATGAATATGAATACTTGTTTCTCTCTCTCTCTCTCTCTCTCTTCTCCGCCGAAGACACCGAGGTCGTAGCCTGCCCCCCTCCGCGTACTGTTCGGTTTGCACATCGGGTCCCCCAAAGGTGGTCGATCATATGTTTTTCGAATCCGAGCGTTTTCGGTGTTTCCCGAATGGCGCTCCGGCTACAGCGTTGGCTCCTGGCTCCGTCCTCTGGCTCTCAGTTCTTTCGGATTCCAAATCCTGCTCCCGCTGCAACGCTAACCTCATTTCTTGTGTGTGGATTTTCCACATCATTTTCCACTACAACGTTTGCTCTCATTTTACGCCCCCGATCTTTGCGAACAGTTCATTTACATGTCTCGCCTTGCGTCATGTCTGGTCTCCCTCCGGCATGTTACGCTCTGCCGTGCTCTTCTACGCCGTGCTAGAAAGATCACTACCAGACATCTGGTACCCTCTCGGGATCCTTGCCCTGCTCGACATCCGACTGTGCGAATAGCGAAGAGATCTACTGTATGGTAAGGGATGGGAGGGAGGAGTAGGACATCAGATAAGACGCTTGCGCACCTAGCTTCTCCTCCTCCTCTTCCTCCATCCCCCTCCTCATCCACCACATCCTCCTCCTCCTCCTCCTCCTGCTTCCCTCCCTCCCTCCCTCGCCCCCCTCTCCCTTCCATCCCCCTCCTTCCTCCTTCCTCCTTTCGTCCGTCGCCACTGTTGCTCACGCCATTGGCTCAAGCCATTTTGGCTCAAGCTACGCGCTTGCGCGCGGGCTCAGGTGCTTCGGCGGAATGGCGCGGGAAGGCGCGGGTGATGCGCTCCTGCCTGGTCTGTGGCGCTCTGCTGCGTCGCCTGGCGAGACGGGAACGGGCGAGGCAATCAGCGGACTGGGCTGTCCTAAAGTTGTCGGCCGAGTTGGATCGCCTTGGCGGCGAGCACGAGCTGGTCATGCGGGGCGTCTGCTCTCTTCTCCGAGATCAAGAACCGGCCGATCGAGCGTTCGCGCCCGATCAGCCAGCTCTAGATCTGGGAGCGGAGGGAAGGGGGAGAATTGAGGGGAAGGGGGAGAGCAGCGGGTCCGCATCCTCTCCCGCCTCGGGGGCACCTCTGTCGACAGCGGCTCGGAGCGATCCCGCGCCTCGCTGCCCGTGCGCCAGGACAGGAGCGGCTGACATCGAATCGCAAACCTGGACTGGATCGAACTGCATTGACACGGAGCTAGAGACGAATCGGATCGACCGCGCCAGGATGCAAAGCAACGCTGTGCAGACATTGGGCCGCATCGAATCGCCGGAATAGCAACATCGAATAGAATCGGGCCCGCCGAAATCGATACTGAGTCGGTCAGATCGAACTAGACCCAATGCTATTCGCGTGCACGGCATGCCGCACGACGACGACGACGACGACGACGAAGACCCCGCAGGCGGCCCTCTTGCGCCTCTGACGACGCCATCATGACGACACACTAACGCCGAAGAAGATCGATCGATCGATCAATCGACGTCGATCTATCCATCGACAGCGGCGACGATGAATCGAAACCGATCGATCGACATCAACGATTGAAGACGACGACGACGACGACGACGACGACGACGGCCCCAAAGGGTGGACTCCTTGCGCCCCCAGAGGCTCAGGAAGGGACTCCAGACACCCACCGTCGTCGACGATCAATCCCGATCGCGAGACAACTACATGATCAGACACCCTTGGTGGTCCGCGCAGATTTCGTCTATCAATGCTGGGACCACCTGGCGGCGCCTCTGGCGCCGGCCCTGGCGCGCTCCGCGCGCCGATACTAGAAATCTGTGCGGACCTCCGATAATCATTATGTTTGCGACGCTTCTTCTCCCTTCTCCGTCTTCTTCGTCTTCGACGACGGACGCCGATCGATCGATCGTCGATCGATCGATCCACGGAAGCGTCCACGACATCAGAGGGGGGCCTTCTTGCGCCCTGGGCGTCGACTCCCTCACGCAAAAAAACGACCGATCGACCGACGACGATCGATCGACCGTCGACGATCGGTCGATGCCGACGCCGAGCGATCGACGTCGGCTGGTGCTCCACTCCATGGACGTTCTGTTCATGTGGGCGTTGGCGGTCTGGGAGCAGCAGGTGAAGGGCCGCGTGCTGGAGGTCACGCTGGCGGCCGCCGTCCAGCGCGCCAGCCTCATTCAGCACCCCTGGCGCACAGCATGCACGCCTGCTGACGCCGCCCTGCTCACTGCTCGCAGGCTGGGCTGGGACTTCGAGGGGCATTACGCCGTTCGCTCCGACGATAACGCGGTGATCGATCTGCTGCGCCTGGGGCCTCGACAGGTGAAGGAGGAGGTCAAGCGCGCTGCAGTGCGGGCCTCCGACAAGCTGGCGCTCAAGGTCACCGGCAAGGCCCTGGCGCGCGGCGTGGAGCCCCTCCCCAGCTGGCCGATCTTCTGGGCGCCACTGCGCAGGCTTCTCAGGAGGAGGACAGACGTCTGGGGCAAGAGGCAGCAAGGGGCCCTGCGAGCCCTGGCCACCAACGTCCACTAGCCGCAAGCGCGCTTGTTCGCGCACGGCCTAGTGAAATCCTCGACGTGCAGGCTGTGCGGCGGCGGCCTGGGGAGCCTATACCACCGCCACTACGAGTGCCCGGCCCATGCAGGACTTCGACGCGATCGCGCCTCACTCCGCCTTTGCCAGCGCGCTGCCCGCGTGAGGCGCTGGAGCGTGGAGGCAGGCGAGCGGTTCTGCAGAGGGCTGTGGCCGGACCCTCGCTGCCTGTTCCAGCTAGTCGGCGCGGAGGGCGACATTGCCTGGATCAACAGGCCCAGCTCTGGGCGGCTCACGGGGTGCCTCTTCCTCGACGGCAGCTCTTTCATGAAGCGCCTCCCTGGGCTGGAGCATGCTGGATGGGCGGTGGTCCAGGTGGACCGCTTCGGCAACCTGGAGGCGGCCGCTTTCGGGCCTGTACCCACCTCGGCGGCGCCAGGCCAATCGGCACCCGACGCCGAGGACTACGCGGCGTTCATGCTCACGATGGTCGCGATGGCGCCCTTCCAGTTGTACCTGGACTGCGCCGACACGCTGCGGGTGCTGGCAGGCGGCGCAGGTGCCGGGGCCAGGGGCGCTGACATGCGGCCCCACCTGTGGGGGCCATTTTGGGCAGCGTTCGACGAGAACGACTTCACCGCCCACAAGACGCTCGGGCACGCGACGAGCGCCGATGTGGACGCTGGGCGCAGCACGCACTGGGAGAGGCGCGCCAACAACCACGCCGACGAGCTGGCCAAGAGGGGCGCGGCCAGGCATGGCATCGGCGAGCCCGACGCGGCCCTGTGGCGAGGTCTGCGCGTCCTCGCCGAGGAGGCGGCGTGCTGGAGCGCCTCCCTGGAGGAGGCGTGAGACGGGCCAAGGCCAGATCACGAGGATGTTCTTCGACGCCAGCCTGCTGCGCCGCCGGGGCTGGCGCTGACTCAGGCGAGGATGCAGCGGCGGAGGCAGATGGCGAAGGAGACCAGCTCGGCGACGCGCCTCAGGTTGATGCCGGTCCCCGCCTCGATGCCCTGACGTTCGACCTGGACGAGGCTGTGCTGGCCAGGCATGCGTGGAGGGTGCATGGCCACGCGCTGCTCCGCTGCGGCGTCGTGCAGAGGCCCGAGGTGCGCATGGTATTCTGCCTCAACTGCGGTGCCGTGATGACGGGCAAGCGGCCTGGCAAGCTGCTCAATGCGCCGTGCAATGGGCGGCGAGGGCGGCGAGGAGCTGGGGAGGAGCAGCTGAGGCTCATCCGCCAGCTTAGGTGGCCTCACTACCGTGCTGGCCACCAAGGCGATCGGCTCGTGGGCCCCTTCGCTATCGACCTTGACGAGCGCCTCGACCTGTCAGTCAGCCTGCTGGGTAGCCAGGGTGCTGTGGCTGGAGGCGCGCAGGGGGCAGCATGTGAGGCCCTGGAGGCGCCGCCCGAGGGGAGAGCGGCTCGGCTCCACCTGCTGCGATGCCATGGGGAGCGGGAGTCCGACATTGAGAAGGTGCGCGAGCTCGGGCGGGCAGCAACCCGCGCAGCGACCAGCCTCGGAAGTGACTCCGACGACTACGACTAGGGGCACATCACGGGCTGAGGAGGCCCGCCCGCCCCGCCTGCTGCGGATGCAGGCCACACCCACACCCATACCCTCCTCCTCCTCCTCCTCCTCCTCCTCCTCCTCCTCCTCCTCCTCCTGCTCCTCCTGCTCCTCCTCCTCCTCCTCCTCCTCCTCCTCCTCCTCCTCCTCCTCCTCCTCCTCCTCCTCCTCCTCCTCCTCCTCTCCTCCTCCTCCCCCCTCCCCTCCCCCTCCTCTCCTCCTCCTCCTCCTCCTCCTCCTCCTCCTCCTCATCATCATCATCATCATCATCATCATCATCATCATCATCATCATCAGCATCAGCATCATCAGCATCATCAGCATCAGCATCAGCATCAGCATCAGCATCAGCATCAGCATCAGCATCAGCATCATCATCATCATCATCATCATCATCGTCATCATCATCATCATCATCATCATCATCATCATCATCATCATCATCATCATCATCATCATCATCAGCATCAGCATCATCAGCATCATCATCATCATCAGCAGCATCAGCATCATCATCATCATCATCATCATCATCATCATCATCATCATCATCATCATCATCATCATCATCATCATCATCATCATCATCATCATCATCATTCTCCTCCTCCCCCTCCTCGCGCCGAGCAGCCTTCTTGCGCCCCTGCTGGCCCAGCGGCGCGGCGGTCGCGATCGGGCTGGCTTCGGGCGCGCCAGCGGCGGCCTCTGGCGGACCTCCCCCCACAGCGGCGCTCTGTTTTACTTGTGTCAGCCGCGCGGGGAGCGAGGGGAGGGGGGAGGGAGGAAGAGGAAAAGGAGGAGGGAGGGAGGGAGGGAGGGAGGGAGGGAGGGGAGGGAGGGAAGGAAGGGAGGGAGAGGAGGAGGAGGAGGAGGAGGAGGAGGAGGAGGAGGCGGAGAGGACAAGGAGGAAGAGGATGAGGATAAGGATGATGAGGAGGAGGAGCAGGAGGAGGATGAGGAGGAGAAGGAGGAGAAGAGGTAGGCGGAGGGAGGGAGGGAGGGACGAACACTCCGACAACCTTCCACCACTCCTTTCAGTCACGGTGCCCCCAGCACGTGAAGCGCACCGCACCCAACCTCTGTGCAGCTCTCCGTGCATCTTCTGGATGAGGCCACACACGCACACACAAGCACTGGGCAATGGGCAGAGAAAGGGAGAGCCTGCCGACAGCACGCCACCGCAACCCCAACTGTTCCGACCCAACCTCCGCCGCCCTCCTCGACCAGCCCACGTTTGTCATACCCAACCTGCCAGCAACTGTGAAGCCACCCCTCCCCTCTACTCTCCCCGCTGACGCAGGGTCGTCCTCGACGTGAGGTCGTCCTCCACCCCCTCCAGGGGTCGCCTGGGGGGCCCAGCTACCCCACCGCCTGCACGGGCGGCTCCGGCTCCTCTGTGACACGAGCTCGCCCTTACATTATAGCGACATAGTTTGATCCCCCCCAGTGGCGGAGGCCACCAGGAGGGGGGCCAAACGCCACCAGCCTTGAGCCTTGAGCCTTGAGGCGGAGGAGGAGGAGGAGGAGAAAGCAGGCTCTGATCCCTTCGCGCCACCCCGCCCGGCGCACCGCCGTCGGCTGGGTGGCGCCTCCTGGCGTTCTCCTGCGCCTCCTCCAGGAAGCGCAGCGCGGAGGGCTGCGGCCGGCGCACCCCTCCCAGCCTCCAGCAGCCGATCCCAGCGGAGGGCCGAGGCGAATCTTGAGGCTTTCTGAGGGAAGGGGGGAGGGGGCCTCCTGAACTCACCTCGAGATCCTGACCAATCTGGGAACTGCCAACTTTGAGGCTGAGAGGGAAGGGGATGGAGACGAGATGGAATGGAGGACGTGATGGAGGATGTGCGAGGGTGGGGGGAACGGAGGGCGAGAGGTAGTAGAGGTCTGAGAGATGGGAAGAGGGAGGGAGAAGGATGGGAGGAGGCGGGACAGAGTGCAGTCGGAGCCTAGCACAAGGAAGCGCAGTCAGGGTGCACGGCCGTCAGGGGGACCAGCTTCAAACAGGCGGCAAGCGAAAATGGCTGGCGAGGACGAATGGATGAGCAAAGCAGGCAGGGCTGGGGAAACGGAAGAGGACGGAGGAGGAGGAGGAGGAGGAGGAGGAGGAGGCGGAAGAGGAGGCGGAGGGGGAGGAGGAGGAGGAGGAGGAGGAGGCGGAGGCGGAGGGGGAAGGGGGGGGGATCCATGCAGGCCAGTGACCAGGGTGCCCTCGCTAGGCGCCGCGCCGCCTTCGCTGCCTGAGTAGCCCGCGGGCAGCGTTCCACGCCGGTGCCGAGGCAGCGCGGGCGTGCCTGGCGCCCCTCGCAGTCTGTCGCAGGCTGTGGCGACCTGTCCTCCCTGGGGGGACTGGTTTCTGGCCAGGCTTCGAGGCGTTCCCCGTGCCTCGAGGGCCAGCGCGCCCTGGGAGGCGCAGCAGAACCTGAGAATCTCTGGACGGGGCACGGATGGGGCGGCCTCGTGAGACTTTCGGGGCTCCTGCCTCGACGCCGTCGCTGGTCTGGCAAGAGCACCCGCCCAGACACCAGACACGGGGAAGCGGCCCAGGCTCACTGCTTCGTGCGGCAGCCAGCTCCAGCATGGTGTTCGGCGCACCCGAGACGCCACGCTTCTCGGGGCCCTGTACCCGCCTTCAGTGTGTGCTGCGAGGCAATCGCTGCCTTCTCGAATGGGGTGGGACGAAGCTGAGGTGGCGGGGTCTGTGGCTTCTCGGCCCTCTGACTCTAGCACGCGTCAACCCAAGCGAGACACCCAATCGCTGCAAACAAACGATGGCGAGCCAACGCCACCATCGACTCAATGTCCGCCGCTTATCGAGGTCTGCTGGCGGCAGCTGGCATGCAGGCATCCCAGGCTGCCTGCTAGACCAGATGGCCAGCTTTTTAATTTCCGATCTATTCGCTGGCGCGGGCACAACGAAGGCATGGCGCAGTCCTGGCTGTGGCAGGGCAAGACGACGTCGCCAACACTCCTGCCACAGGTCGTGACTTTCCTGAGGCAACTTCAAAAGGCCCTCTATGGATGCCGTGCGCAGCATAGCCGGAATGCATGAACAAGTTGCAGGCCCTACACTTCCATACAATTGCAGTGACTACATGAGGGCTGAGAGCTCAGCGCGTCCGACGGCTTGGAGCCTGCCTGCGATGTTTCCACATCGGCCCGAGTGCCCGAGGGGCTCCTTGGCAAACAAGGTGGCAGCAAAAACCACATGCGCGAATCCCCCCGTGCCGCCGAGCGCGCCCCGCCATTAAGCACGCGGGGAGAAACTGGAGTCGCTATGGCCGAAAGCCCACTCACAAGTGTGCAGCTCTTCTGTCGGGTATGGGACCTCTGTGCACATGCCTGGGATCAATCCTCGGGGGCACAAGCAGGGCATCTCTGCATCATCTTCGCCAGCGCGGGCCTTGGGGTAATCCGGTTTCTGTCATTCGCTTATCTCGCAACTCCCAAGACATTCCAGTACCGGGACACGCCGCCCCCTACATTCATCTGGCATCGCTGGCGCATGCTCTGGTGGGGCCTACCCAGGCTAGTATATTTCGTGCGCCGAGGGAGGGGCGAGCAGAACAACAAATTGCAGGAACAGAATCGTTGGAGGTCAGCGCGGATTGCATGGGCTAGCGCTGGACCCCAGCCCCACCCTGGCGCGCGTCGACCCCGCAAATCCGCGCAGACCTCCGACAATTAATGATGATGCCGGTTCTGCTCTTCGGGCCGCGGCGGCGGGCGCCTCCCAACGCGCCGCGTCCGTCACCCCCGCGCCGGCGCCGCGGAGGCGGGCGGAGACGCGGGCCGACATGGCTTGCGGGCGCCCCTGGCGTGGCGGAGCCCCTCCCGTAGCCACCGGCTGCGGGATCGCCGGCGCGCGGTCCTCCTCCCTGCCTCCCTCAGCTCCTCCGCCCCTGAGGTATCTACGGCCAAGCGGGCTACAAAACTGGGGCGTCCGATGTCCTAGCGCTGGTTGGACCCGCAGGTGAAGCTTCACGAGTGGTCGCAGACTCGTCCTCGTCCACGTGGTCGTCGTCTTTCTTCTCTCTGACAACAATGGCGCATCGCTTGCTTGGCTTACTCTCTCCTCCACCTCCTGCTCCTCCTCCTCCAACTCATGTTTCTGCATCCCTCCGTCTGCTGCCGCGGCCGTCTCGGATGCAAACTACATGCAGTCTGCGAGTGAACACACTCTGCTAAACCCAACGGATGCACAATGTTCAGGAACCTCCTGCTAACTTCCCAGTTGGATTCTTGACAGCAGGATCTTCCCTTCAATACCAGAAAACAAGTTACGAATCAATTGATTGTCAGCCTCGCTAACGGGGCGTACAAATCCTGTGTCAAATGGCAACCAGTGATATCCTCCTTGGGCACTTGGCAAGCCATATCCTAAAGCTTTCTTGTCGTCCACCCCCTCCACTCTCGTTCCCTCAGAAAGTAACTCCTACGAGGTCTACGCAGGCACGGTTCAAAAGATGTGATTCCGACTGTAAGTACATCAGTCAACCAATTCATGAGCCGAACCAAGTGGGACTAGGTCGGACTACGGCATTTTTCGACAAAAGTGTACCACGAATTCAACCTCCCAGGAATTGCAACCAAGCCTCAAAAACGCGCAACGTTCTGCTCATCCTCGCGCACCTGGCCACCCGCCGCGGTCACCGACGCACAAGAGCACGAACCAAAACTGGGCAGCCAACGTTTCGAACAAAAACAAGACGGACATATGTTGCTACTTTTGGACTTCTTAAGTGTTACGTTCGGGCCCCAGCCTGGATAACAATTCCGTCGGCTGGTTATCGATGGCTTCGAATAGGCTTAACAAATCTGGTACTCTAATTCCCTCCGAAAAGGACAGATCGGTAGAGCGTGCTGTAACACGGGAATTGGCGGGAGGCCGAGGCGGCGCTTCAGAAGGGAGTCGATAGATATGGACAATCGCGTAATGAACCGGCGTTGTCACTGAGGCCCACTACGCGCCCTGTCCGTGATCAGTTTCCACCGCGATGCCCGAACTTGAGCCAAGTGCAGCGTCACCTCTGAAGTTGGCCTGAAATAGCTATCTCACATAGTGCAACCCATCCAGGGAGGCGGCGTTGCCGCTGAGCCCCCAAGGATCTTAAGACACATGGCGTTGCAGAGTGCGAAATACATTGCATGGCTCTGGAAGCACTATGCCAGAAAGTGTGCTCAGAACGTTCTGGAAGACGACTCCAAATACGTTCTGAAACCAATCCGTGCCGCAGCCTGACAGATGGATCCTGCCACCCAGCTGCGGTCGAGATTCGGCCACGTTCGCAGGACAACCTCCTTAGGGGCCCGTCCATAATCTATTGTGTCTGTGTCCTACCTGGGCGCAGTGACATTTCAAGGGGGCCCGCCCCCCGACCCGTAGCCCTTGAGGCTCAGGCTGCTTCTGTCGCACGGGTTGCTTCTGTCGCACGGGCTGGGCGTCCAGGCTGTTGCGCTCACATTCAACATGCAGGAGAATATTTGCACATCGGCGTGTGAGCTAAATGCTGAACAAAATGTTTAAATGTGTGGCGATGGCGGATAGCCTGTGGCTGTTTCTCCACACACCCCTCGCCGAGCAACGCGTTAGAATACATGGGATTAGACCACGCGCGCTTCGCTCGCGCTGGAATTCTAGCAAACCCTAGTTGTAGTCCAAAATGTTAGGCATCGAAAGACATATATTGTCACACGGATCGTGCACCTCAGGGAGCTCAACATGCGTCGCCGGAATAAAGGTTTGGCTCAGGGTCCCCCCGCCCATGCCGGCACACCCCTCACAGGGGTCGTGCCCCACAAGGAGATCCAACTAAGTACCCAGAGACGAGGTTCGCATAGTGACACGCCCCTCACGCGGATCGCGCCCCGCAACTAAATTCATTCATCTGCGGCACCAGAGGGGAGCTTCACAGCATCGCCCCGCACACTTCGGCTCATCTATTACACGGATCGTGGCCCGCAAGGAGTTCCACAGACGGCCCCATTGACAAGGTTCGCATTCCGCTCTCCCGCCTACTTCGGTACACCTCTCAAACGGATCGTGGCCCACTGGGAGCTCCACCCACGGCCCCAGAGGCATGGTTCGCACTGCACCCCCCATCCCCCCTGGCAATTGCGGCACACCCCATCACGCGGAGCGTGCCCACAAGGAGCACAACCTCAAGGCCCAGAACTAAGGTTCGTACAACGCCCCCCCCCCCCGCCAAAGTCGGCACACCTGTCACACCCCAGAAGGAACTCCACCTATGGCACCAAAGGACAGCTTCGCAGGGCACTGCGGAAAATGTTTCGCACGGGGCGTGCCTGGAAAAGGTCAATCTGCGTCCGGTTCGCGCGGCCCTGCGCGCGGATCGTGCCCCACAAAGAATTCAGCGGCGGGCCCGTGGAGCTCCCAGGGCCCAAAGGAAGAATCGCGACCTAGGTTTTGGCTTGTGGGTTTGTTTTTGTTGGCCTTCCGCGTCGTGGTCCTGGGCCCTGCCGGGAGCGCGCGCGGGAAGGTGCTTCGCTGCTCCGCTGCTCCTGCGGCGCGGCCCACGGGTTTTGGCCAGCGGAGCTCCCGGGGACCAAAGGAAGAATCGCGACCTGGGTCTTGGCCTGTGGAGTTCCTGGGGCCCACGGGAAAAATCGACCTGGGTTTTGGCCTGCGGATTTTTTTTTTGATTGGCCTTACGCGTCGTGGTCATGGGCCCTGCCGAGAGCGCGCGCGGGAGGGTGTTCCGCCGCTCCGCTGCTCCTGCGGCGCGGCCCACGGGTTTTGGCCCGCGGCGTTCCTGGGGCCCGCGGGGAAAATCGGGACCTGGGTTTTGGCCTGCGGGTTTTTCTTATTGGCCTTGCGCGTCGTGGTCCTGCCTGGGCCTTGCCGAGAGCGCGCGCGGGAGGGTGCTCCGCCGCTCCGCTGCTTCTGCGGCGCGGCCCACGGGTTTTGGCCCAGGGCGCTCCCAGGGCCCAAAAGAAGAATCGCGACCTTGGTTTTGGCCTGCGGAGCTCCTGGGGCCCACGGGAAAAATCGACCTGGGTTTGGGCTTGTTTTTTTTTGATTGGCCTTGCGCGTCGTGGTCCTGGGCCCTGCGCGGAGCGCGCACGGGAGGGTGTTCCGCTGCTCCGCTGCTCCTGCGGCGCGGCCCGCGGGTTCTGGAGCTCCCGGGGCCCAAGCGAAGGATCGTGACCTGGCGGCAGAATCGTGACCTGGCTTGCGGGTGTTTTTTCGGCCTTGCGCGTCGCGGTCCTGGGCCCGCCCGCGCTCCACAGGCCAAAACCGTGTGTTTCGCCTGGGGGGGTTTTGGGTGGCCTTGCGCGCTCGGGCTTTTGCCTTGAATGCGGTCGCGCCAGGTGGCGCTCAGCTAGCCGCTAACGGCCAGCCCGCGGTTGAGCCAGAAACATGTTCGTTGTCGTTGGCTCCTTGGCCCAAAAGCGTCGTGGACTCGGTGGGCTCTCCGTCATTCCAAATGTTATGTGGCATGACTCCCGATGTTTCCTGGCGAACGCTCAGCCAGGTGCCCACGGCTGCGCATTCGCCCCAGGAGTTGGTGTCGCTGTTGTTGGGCGCGGGGCATCCTGTGTTTCAGCGGTTGATGCAACCGCGCTGCTAGGGAGGTACCTACTTTCAAAGCACGAAATAAGATCAAAGCCAGGATCTGGACATTTGGCAGATCAAAGCTTGCTGAGTTTGCTTCCAACCTGGCCATCTCGACTCGGGCCAGTACTGAGTCGATGCGTTCGCCCCTCTCGACCCGGAAATCGATGAGGGATGTCCCGAGGTGTGCTGTCGTTCGTCCTCAACGTTTTGGAATTTGGCGTCTGATAGGTACATGATGTACATGACTCCATGGGCGCGTCTCCCCTGTAAGGTGACACCATGGTCAATGACGGTGGACGGCACCCTCATGGCCAGTGTCCTAGCCAAGCCCCCGTAGGCCGCATTGTAAAGCAGCGGCCTGTCGGGGTGGAGTCACGCTTCCGCTCGCGACGTTAAGTCATGCGTGCTCTTCGCGAACAAAGCCGCGGAAAGGGCACGATGCCTGCGGCGCCCCAGAGAGGACCCCGAGCGCGCGTTACACCAAGTCCTCCTCCCCCTCCCCCTCGCACGTATGCCGCGGCAAGACCTAGGCACACCCAAATGGTTCCAAAGATAGCGACCTTGACAGAACGCGTGGTAATGCTGTAGATGGTGATGTCAGGTCTCGTATTGTTTGATATGGTCGCGTCGATACGGATGGCCGTCGATTTTTGATATTTTCCACCCCGCCGCAGCTCTCTCTGCTCTGATTTCTCCCTCGGTTAGGCGGCGCCCAAAGATGGGGCGCCGAATCGCGTCGAATCCCATCGACTCGCAATCGAAACTGTTTTTGCAAATGGCGGGCGGCAGTTCCGAAGCGGGGCGGAGAGGCTAGCGCGGACCCGTATCAGAAACGCGCGGGAGCCTAGATCTAGTCTCAGCCGCCATCTCCCGGAACGTCTGGGTGTCTACGCGACGATGATGGAAACGAAGCGGCCGTGCAGGAGGAGGCTCCGAAATATCTCCATGCGCATCCGTACCAACCAGAGCAGCCAGCGATTCCATGAGCGCCTCAGCCCACGGCGGAGCAGCCTGAGGAGCACCAGCAGAAGCTCGAGCACCAGCACGAAGCACTGCGCGGCAGCAAAGGACCGCACAGTGCTGGTGCACTCCACGATCCCCTGCAGCAAGAAGGTCGTGACGCTCACCGTCGGCATGAGGAACACGGACAGCAGGAAGAAAGACAGAGGCCTGAACATTCAACGGGACGGACGGTATGACTGGCAGAGTCCTAGACCCATGGATCGTGCCTCGGTTCTTGCGAATGGCAACGAACTGGATGATGACAGCGTTTCTCAGGCTCGCGATCTCGTACAGCAGCTGCACCATGAACAGGTCGCCTCCGCGGCGCCTTTGGTGGAGGAGGTCGGCTTGGACTGCGCGATGGAACCCAAGGGTCTCCGCCAGGTTGCTGCCAAGGGTTATGCCCACGAAGATCAAGAGGTCCCTGACGATTAGGGGGAAGCCCATCTTGCGGGTCATCTGGAGAATCGCGGCCATCACGGGGATCGTCACCATCTTCCGCGTCGTGTTGTTGTGGCCCTCGACCAGGGTGGAGAACCCAGATGCAAACCTCTTGGCGCCCACCAGAGTGACGGTGACCACGATCAACCGAGGTACCTCGCCCAAACACCTCCCAAATGGTGTCGATCATGGCAAGCAGCGTGAATCGCGAAGGAGAAGAGGGCGGAGCCGATGAGTCCAACGTGATCTTGATATTGGCCTTCTGGTCCACCTTGGAAGATCTGCAGGCGAAGTGAGCAGCAGCCCGACTCTCCACTTGACGACGAACCCATTCCAGTCTGCCAGCAACGACCATGGCGGAAGGCGCAACGAGGCGCGGGCGCGCCTGGCAAGCCACGTGGACAAGCAAATGCTTGAGCCAAAATGGCTATACAGATGGCCGTCACTTTACGGACGTGTATCGGTACTGGAGTGGTGCGCGACGTGTGGCCGCGCGTCGGGGGGATGGAGGTACAGGCCTGTAGGTTACCAGCTGGCCAAGAGTATTGGCAATGTAATGGCTAAGAACCGGCGCAGTCGCGTACTGCACTGTGCCGTGATAAGTTGTCATGTACATAGCACACGATGTAAGAGCCAGCCGCACGAGGATGTAGCCAGCTCCGCTATCAAGTGAAAAGTGAGGGTTAAGGGCTAAGCGGCTTGATCACGAAATAATAAGCTGGAAACCATATTCCTAGGAGAACGTCGGCGACGTATCGGGTTGTCCCGCAACTCATCCGTTGATGGTAAGTAAGACGAGAGGTAAGAGGCAAGCCATGTTAGGAGAGGCGGACCATAGATAGACGTGGCCTTTGTCTGATGCGCTGGTCCAGGTAGAGTCGCACACAGGCGTGCAACTGGCATATAGGACTGCGCAGTCTTGAACCTAAACAGCGCCAGATATAACGTTCGCTATACTGCCTCTCCTTAAACCTCGTTTTAAATCTCTCAGGGATCCCCTCGTCTACTAACGGATGTCCCCGTGCATCGCCCCCCCTCCCAAGGCCAAGATCCTCGCTCCCGAGACAACGATCCCTCGTACATCAAAAACAATGGATACGCTCTCTTGAGGTGGTGACCCCCAATAAACAAAATTTCTAGACCCGCGCTCCCGAGGCCACGCTCCCTCGCAAAAAAGTGGGCCAGCCCGGCTTCCAAGACGACCGAGGCAGGCACCCAAGGCCGCAAGGATGGCCCGAGATGGCTCCACGGCGGCCCAATGGCCCCAAGACGGCCTAGAGAAGCTCCCAAGACGACCCGAGGGTGTACCCAGTAGGACCCGAACAAACCAAAATCATTCTTGCCCACAGGTTGTCAAGATTTCGGCGTCTTCACGTTTTCGGGCTTCCTGTAGCTCCACGACGGCCCCAGAGAACCCCAAGACGGCCCCAAGACGGCCCAAGGAAGCCCCGAGCATCATCGAAGGCAGCCTCTCAAGATAGCCCAAAGGTTCCTGCACAGCCCCAAGCTGGCACAAAACGGCCTCCAGACTCCGGAGTGGCCCAAGACGGCCTCGAGAGCCCACCGACGGCTCAAAGACGGCCGCAACGAACGGCCAAGAGGGCCCCAAAAGGTCCCAAGAGAGCCCCAAGACGGCCCGAAGTGTCCCAAGGGACCCTCAGAAATGCCCCAAAGGAGCCCGAGAAAGGAAAGAAAACAGGAAGGAGCACGACGAGGACGAGAAGAGAACCCCCGAGACGACGTGGAAGCGTGTGTCACATGTTATGGTTATCCCAAGCCTCGGGACACGAGGAGTCACGCTTTGCATCCTCTGTGCGCCCCCAGAACAGCCGCAACCAAATGTGCTGGGCTGGCATGTTGGCGGGACTTGCCACAGGCAGATGAGTACGCATCACAATACGCACGGCACGGGCCTCTCCGAGGAAGAGGGGGAAGAGGCGGACCTTGCGACAATCACATCCGGGCGTCGTGAAAAGCACGACGGTCGCTCACGCCCCCCAATTCGGCTCCATGTCGGATCTCACGGATCGATCCGCCCCGAGAAGTCCTGGAAAATCCTGGCGTGCTTTGTTGTTGTCACGATGTCGTCGCTGCTTTTCAAGACGTCGGATGGCTGGGGGAGGCAAGAGGAGCGAGGAGGGAGGAGCCATGTCCTCTTGCCCGAATTTCGGACGTTTTTTCCTCCAAAAGATGGCCCCTGCACTGCTGTTTGTTCCAAAGACAACCCTGGGGCGATGCTTCCTTCCGATTATAGGGCAACGGGATCTATGCATACAGGCATGGCCCGTCCTGGGCAAGGCCTGGGAACGTGGATATGCATAGATCCCCTCGCCCTAGATTCGGTATTCGACAACCCCTGGGGGCCCGAAGCGGCCTCCGAAGGCTGAGCTAGTCTGCCGTCTGGGGGGGCCAACAAGTGGCCCAAAAGCGGTTGCAAAATACACGCTCCAACCCTGCAGAAACTTCCCGAGGAGAACAAGGACGATTGACACACCCGAAATGAGCACGGACGAAGTGCACGATGCACAACAGCGGCCGCTCTTGGGCAGACGACCTTGTGTCGCAACTGGAGAGCGTCACGTCCCGACACCGACAGCGAGTCCTGCTCAAAACGGACAGGGACACTGGTCTGCGTCACCACCCTTTTCCGAACCCCCACTCCCACACATGCGATCTCTGGGAGTGGGCTTCGGTCGTACCGAGGCGAGTGGGACGCGCTTGTTGCCGACCGCAGAAGCAGCGGCGCCCCCCCGCTGCAGCTCGTCGGGGCCGAAGGGCAGCGGCGCTGGCCTCCGGAGCGGCACGTCCGCCGCCCTGCCCTCCTTGGGAGGTCGTGCAGCGGGCCAGTCTTAGGACGCCGTCGTCACCGCGGCCGCTGCCGCCACCGTGGTTGCCGTCGCCACAACCGCATCCGCCGTCGCCAAGTCCTTGGAGGTCATCCAGCGCCCGTTGTACTCTGGCCAGTCGTGCAGGTAGTAGTTGTGCGTCCCGAACTTCTCCTTGAGCGCGTGGAAGAGGATGCTCTGGTCCGCCTTACCCCGAGTCACCAGGAGTCCGGCAAGAACCTTGTGACCACTCACCCCCGCGTAGTATAGAGGTGTCCTGGAGTGCCTGTCCTGGGGGTCCGCCGCGCAGGGCGCGTCCAGCAGGAGCCCAGCTACCCGCTCGTGGCCCGCCAGGGCGGCGTGGTGAAGCGGGGTGCGCTCCTCCTCCAAGAAAACACCAACTCTACACCAGCACCGACCCTGCCCAAACCCACCCTGGGCCCAGACAAGCTGGTACGCCCCCTGGCTTGGCCAGGGAGGCCCACACACCGATCCAGGGCGCATGATCAGCCTGGCCGGGAGCGGTGCTGGTGCAACAGCGGCGTCCACCGATCCTCGTCAGTCAGCTCCGGATCTGCGTGAACGTCGAGCAGGGCCTCCACGAGGCCCTCTGCCCCCGCCACCGCCGCCAAGTGCAAGGGCGAGGCTCCGCCGCCCAGCCGCCGGCCCAGCAGCGCATCGCGCTCCTCCCCGCCGAGCTGCAGTAGCAGAGCGGCCGCGAGCTGCTGCTCCTCGCGGCCGACCGCGCGGCACAGGGCCGCCAGCAAGGGCTCGCTGTCTGCCGCACTCCAGCCTCGAGGCACCGAGGACAGCAGCAGCCGCCGCGCGCGGCCCGGCCCCGACGCCGCCCAGGCCTCCGCGGCGGCACGGGCGGCGAAGCCGAGGCCGCCGCCGCGGCCACCTGGGCGCCCGAGCTGGGCCCAGAGGCCGCCCAACACTGCCTCCAGCGGCTCCCCCGCGTCGCACGCAGGGAGCGCTGCTGCCCACTCGCTGGCGATCGGCGGGGCAACCGCGTCTAAGCCTGGCGGACGCTCGGGCGCGCGCGCGGCAGGGGAGAGCTCGCTGAGCACCACAGCCTCGCGGTCGTCGCCCGAGGGCGCGCCCCGCCGGCACAGCCGCAGCAACTCCCGCGCGTCCCGGCTGCCAGGCTCCAGCGAAATCGCTGCCTGCAGGTCCCCCTCCGCGTCTGCCAGCCGGCCGAGCTCGAGGAGCGCTCTCGCCCGCCTGCACCTGGCCTTAACGTGGCCGGGGTCCAGCGCCAGGCAGGCGGCGGCGCGCCGCTCGGCCCCGGCCCAGTCCCCAAGCCGCAGGCACACCAGGCTGAGGTTGGCCTGCAGCGGCTTCTCCGTGGCGTCGGCGGCGCGGCAGATGCGGTCGTGGCCGCAGCGGTCGACCGCGGCGAGGTCCTCCATGCGAACAAGCCCCCTCGCCCGGGCCAGGTGCCGCTCGGCCGCCTCGTAAGCCTCCAGGGCCTTCCTGGCAGCGCCAACGGGGCCATCGGCGCTGGCCGCAACGATACGGTTGCCAGCCAGGCGCCCCTCCCAGGCGAGCCGCACGGATGCCCAAGCTGAGGCTAGGGTGGTGCCGTCGTCCTCGGCCACGTGCAGGAAGGCTGGCAGCGCATCTTCCATGGCGCCACCATGCGGGGGCTATGGCCGCAGGCGCCCCTTGCCCCCTCTCGCCCCCCCTCGCCCCGAGCCAAATTAGTTGCGGCGGGACAAAGATGAGGGAGGAGAAAAAACGCGTGGAGGGCAATCGACGCCGTCATAACAAGTGCGGGGGGGGTTGGCGGAGGAATGTGTGGACCCCTCCTCGCAACAGTCCTCGTTGGCTTGAGGGATGTCCTCGGCTCCTTCCGGTGCGTATCGACGGCAACCCAACTCATTCTCTAGGATGGAAGCTGCGAAGGGGTGCGGGGCATACCGACGGTCCTCAGAGGCGAGGCCGAAAGACTGAGGTCCTCGCAAGTGGGAGCGGTAGTGGGGCCTAGTACGCGTCCATGATCGTATCGAAGATGGAAGGCCCTGAGAAAGAAAAATGAAACCTGACCAGGAATCACATAAACACGACGGCTACAGCTGAGGAGGAAGAGCAAGGGAAGGGAAGGAGAGGGAGAACAGGACGGAAGAGGAGGAAAGGAAAGGGCGAAAGGTTAGGAGCCGAGGAGCGACCACCCCGGAATAAATCTCTCGGCGGGGCCATCGACCGAGGCATGCGAGCGGCGGAATGACAAGCCTGACCAGACAAGAACGGGAAGCGTCGCTTCTGTCCACGAGGTATGCGAAGAATGCTCTTTTGTTGGCCTGCCGCGCACACATGTCGTGGCGTACGTGCGTCTGCGCGTGCGTGCGTGGCCGTGCGTGGTGGTCTGCGGCGCTGCTGTGTCATGCCATGCTGCTCTGCCGTGCTCCTGCGGTCTGCGTGAACGTATGTTGCCTCTCTGTGTGTGCGTGTGTGTGTGTGTGTGCGTGCGTGTGTGTGTCTGTGCATGTGCGTATGCGTGTGCCTTTACGTGTGCCGATGTGCGTGTGCCAACGTGCGTGTGCCTGCGGGTGCGGCTGTGTGAGTAAATGTTATGTGTGCTATGCCGTGCTCCTGCTTGTTCCGCGTGCCCCTGTGAGTTCTGCCGTGCTCCTGTGTACTCTGCCATGGTCGTGCTCTGCCGTGTTCCTATGTGTTCTGCCTTGTTCCTATGTGTTCTGCCGTGCTCCTGCGTGTGCTGCCGTGTTGCTGCTTATTCTGCCGTGCTTCTATGTGTTCTGTCTGCTTAAAGCTAAAATTAAAGACGGGGCCTTCAAGGCGGAGTGGTGGGGCCAAAAGGCCAAAAGAAACGCTCACCCGAAGGGGGGCGCCTAGGGCCGCCTCTCGCGGGGGCCCCGCAGGGACACCCACCCGAGAGGGGCCACCTTGGGCCGCCCCTCGCCCTCCCAGCGGGGCCGCCTTGGGCCACCGCCCACTGTGAACTCGACTGCGACTGAACGCAGGAGTCTTCATTCACAGGCAAAACAGCTCTACACACGGATGCAACCGAATGCAACTGCACGCCAACCCACTCACTCACTCACCTCTCACGATTCCTGGGCTCCGAGGGCGGCTCGGGGCTCGGCCCCGCCACGCTCCTCGAGCTGCGGAAGCGGCGGCGCGCCAGCTCCCGCCGCATCCCCTTCGATTGGGGGAGGGGGGGGGGGGGGGTCGGTCGCGCGGGCAGCCATCCCTCGCAGGGGCCCTCCGACCGCCCCTCTGGGATGCGCGTCGCCACCCCTCGCCGCCCGCCAGCAGGCCTGCGGCAGGCTCCACAAGGCAGACCCCCGCGGGCGGCTCGGCTCCAGCGAGGACCTCGGGGCCGTCCACGGACTGCTGCGCCGCCCCCAGCAGCCGCAGCCCCTCCGTCGCCTCGCCGCGCAGCAAGGCCGCCTTGGCCGCGGCCGCGGCGGCGGCCTCCAGCAGCGCTCCTGGAACTCCTCCCTGCATCAGTGAGCCCTCAGCTCGGGTTTCGACCACTGCCCTGTCGCCGAGTGTACGCTCCCTCTGCTGAAGCCATACCTCGGCGCGGACCTCGGCGAGGCTAAGCAGCGCGCCCACTGCCGCGCGCGGCCCGCGGGCCGCGGCCGCCACCGCTGCGAGGCAGGCCTCGCTGAGGAAACCCAGGCCAGCACCGTCGTCCGAGGCCGCGCCCAGGGCGGGCGCCGCCTCATCCTCTCCGCCGCCAGCATCGGGACCTCCCCCACTGAGCAACGCCGCGGGGTGCTCGAGGAGGTAGGTGGCGACGACCGAACTGCCCTCAGCGGGCGGCGCGGCGGCGGCGCACGCCGCGGCAGCGTCGGCATCGGCCGCCCGCTCGCCAGCATCAAACCCATTCTCGCCAGAGTTCCCGCCGAAGGAACACTCGCCAGTATCGCAGCCAAGGCGCGCGGAGGCGCGCAAAGAGGCTGGGCCCCCGACCGCGCTGAGCTCCCCAGGCCCGCTGCGCGGCGGAGGCGGCGCCCCAGCATCTGCAGCGCCACCATCTGCAGTGCTGGTCTCTGAGCTCCCGCTGCTCGCCTCGCTCGTCGGCACGGCGCCCAGGTCCCAGGGCGCCGCGCGCTCGGCGGCCTCGGGCTCCACGTTTTCTCCAGTCTGCCCACCCAGGTGATCTTGCAGCGACGGCGGCGCCCCAGCGCCAGCAGCGCCGCAAACCTAAGGCTTCGCTGCGATGTCCGCCTGAGCCAAGGGCCCGCAGCCCAAGCCCGCGAGCGCCGCGATGGCGGTCTCCTCGCAGCTCGGCTGGCGGCCCACTCGGCTCCAATCACCCGGCGGCCGAAGGATGAACGGCCTCGCCGAGGACCGCGGGGGCGCGCGCGTCGCGGCGGCCTGCGACGGGTGCGCCCACGGCCCCGCGGGCAGGGCTACACCAGGCTCCGCTTCGCACACCTCGACCTCGATTTCCAACTAGGGGGACTCGCCACCGCGCTGCATGGCGCTGAGCCGCTGCGGCGACGCCGCCGCGATCTCCCCCGCCGTGACATCGAAGACGCGGGAAGCCACATTACGCCTCCGTTGCACCAGTGGTTGGACCACCCCGTCGCCAAGCTTGGCCTTCAGCACAGGGACAATGAGCTGCACTCTCTGGCTGACCTCATCCGCCAGCGGCCCCTTGAGGTGCACCAGCTCTGACTCCGCCCTCGCCAGCTTCTCCTTGGCCCCCTGCAGCTCGCGCTGGAGCCGGTGGACAAGCCGGTCTGCAGCGTAGCGCGCCGCAGCCACTCCGCGCAGACTCCCCCGCGCCATCGCTGCACGAGCGCGCCCAGGCACGGCTTGAGCCAAACTGGCTACGGATGTGTTTTGTCTACTCTGCCGCGCTCCTGTGTGTTCTGCCGCGCTCCTGTGTGCTCCGTGTGTTCTGCTGTGCTGATCATGATCCTGCGTGTGCTGCCGTGCTCCTATGTGTTCTGCCAACCTCCTGCGTGTTCCGCCGTCAATTCTGCCGTGAACCTGTGTGCTCTGCCGTGTTCCTGTGTGTACTGCCGTGCTCCTGTGTGTTCTGCCATTTCCCCGCTTGTTGCGCCGTGCTCCTATGTCTGCTGTGCTCCTGTGTGTTCCGCAATGCTCCTGCGTGTTCTGCCGTGTTCCTGCTTGTTCGGCCGTGCTCTGACATGCTCCTCCGGCTCCTGTGTTCTGCCGTGCTCCTGCGTGTTATGCCGTGCTCCTGCTTGTTCAGCCGTGTTCCTGTGCGTTCTGTGTGTTCTGCCGTGCTCCTCGTGCTCATGTGTGTTCTGTCGTGCCCCTGTGTGTTCTGCTGTGCTCCTGTTTGTTCTGCCGTGCTCCTATGTGTTGTTTGGGTTCCGCCGTGCTCCTGAGTGTTCTGCCGTGCTCCTGTGAATTCTGCCGTGCTCCTGTGCGTTCTGCTGTGCTTCTGCGTGTTGGGTTGCCGGGATCCCGCCCGTGTTACGGAGATGCTTCAAACGAAAAGTTCAGTTTGATCACGCATGGTCTTAAGTCCTGCATGTTCAGTATTCTATATCACGTGTTCGAAGAAGTCCCAGGCAACATATCCATGTCCATGCGTTTGCTAAATTCGCGGTTTTCATTATCTGGTGGATGTGCAAGGCGAAATGCTTATTTTCGTGAAATACGGTGTTGCGAACAACTCATGTTGTTCAGGATGTCTCTAGCGAAATGCTAAGCTTGAGGAATCTCGAGTGCGCTCTTGGGGTTCTATCGGGCCTCGTTCGGGGATCGTTTGGGGCTGCTTCGATGCCATGAAAAAAAACGATGCCAATACTATGTCACACACATCTCTGTTTTAAACATGTCCCTAACGAACTCATCATTTTTAGAAGCCTGGCTTGGGCCGTCTGGAAGCCTTCCCAAGAGCGATCCCAAGACGATGTTAGAACGGCAGTGTTCAAAACGATGCTGTTGTGTGTTTTCATTGTTCGAGGATGCCCCCAACGATATCGTCATTTTCGGCAGTCATCAGGGCGCTCTTGGAGCCGTCTTGGGGCCCTTTTGGGCTCTTAGTTCTGCCTTTTGAAGCACTTCGAGAACGATGTCAAGACGATGTTGAGAACATGTCAATGTTTCAAGGTTGTCCCCCACGAAATACAAATTTCCTGCCGTATTCTTTTTTCAGGTCCGCCGTGTTGCCGGGCATTTTCTGAGGACGTCCCTTGCGAAAACGCCGTTTTCAACATAAGAGGTACAGTAGTAATACACCTCCGTCGACACCGACACCTCATTTTGGCTAGGATGTCTCAGGCGAAACGCAACGCAAATCTTTACAGACTCGCGAATTTCGCAGATCTAAATTGTTCGAGGATGTCTCGAACGAAACGCTTGTTTTTGTTTTACGCGATGTCGCGAAGATCTCAGTTGTGTGAAGATGTCTCCAGCGACATCGCTATGTTGAGGAACCTGACCGGACAAGAACGGGAAGCGTCGCTTTTGTCCACTAGGATTGTGAAATACACTCTTTTGCTGGCCTGCCACGCAGATATGTCGCGGCGTGCGAACGTTTGCGCGTGCGCTTGCGTGCGTGGAATATGTGCATGTGTGTCCGTGCGTGGAAGTCTGCGGCACTGCTGTGTCATTCCGTGCTTATGCCTTGCTCCTGCGGTCTGCGTGAACGTATGTTGCCTCTCTGTGTGTGCGCGTGTGTGCGTGTGTGCATATGTCTGTGCGTGCGTGTGCGTGTGCGTGTGCGTGTGCGT